GGAGTGTTACCGGAGTTTCTGGAGTGCTCAAATAAACGGGCCTTTTTCCCGAACGCTCCTCTGGTCTCCTGCTCGTGAGGGATTCATTACAATATCGTAACATGGTTTAGATTTCTAAATAAACATTCACCTCGTCGCTAGATAGACCTACTCCTGAAAAACTCGTGCCCAAGGCTTTTTGTCCCTACGAGGCCACCGTCATTTACCCGATGGGAGGGGTGAGCGAGTGAGCCCTGCAATCTAGAATTTGACCACTGATGTCACTGTTTTCAACCCATTTTACACACTGGCCCTTTAAACTTTATAATAATAATCTCTTATCTGGGAAACCAGCACCTTTTTTCCACCCTTTTCTTGCTTTTATCTGAGTCTTCCTGCCTTTTTTGCCACAATAAATGGAAACTTACTCTTTGCTAGTCTGCTAGTCTGAAGATGTGATTTGGAACAGCTGGAGGTGAAACCTAAAAATTTTGTGTGATGAGTGTTACCGACTGGCTCAAAGCCGGCAACAAAAGGGAGGCCACACACAGATATATCAATCAAAAGTTAATTTATTTGACTCAAATAAATAAGCACAGTAACTAACTGATGGCATGTGTAAGTAGGAAGGGTATCAGTCATGTTAGGCATATGTGGATGAGTGAAACATGGTGTAATGTGTGTTGTAAGGTGCAGCAAACCAAACAAAGAAAACAGGCTGAAGAGGCTGCAGCAGGCCCAGCTGGGAGAGAGTGTGTGACCAAACGGGAGGTCCTTTATGCCCTCTGCAGGCCCCACCCAAAAGGGCAGGTACCAGCAGGCACTCCCTCCCAGCTCCGCCCACCAGCCAACTCCCAGTAACTGCAAGAGAGAGAGAGAGAGCACAGTCAGACACGGGCAGGTAGACTGAACAAGGCTGTCACACCCCCCCCCCCCCCCCAAAAAAAGGGGGTCTTAACTAGGATCCCAAAAATTTAACCACAGCTACTACATAACTGTCAATTCTCAAACAATAAATAACCAGCTCAAACAGCTGAGGACGTTAATAAAAAACACTCTGGTATATTAACATTAACATGTGAATAATCATTCAACCTATGTTAACTATATTAACTGAATATCCTTTCAACTTGTGTAAACTTGTGAATATCCTTACGACCTGCAGGCCATCTCCATCCTTGACCGTCAAGGCCAGCTCCCTTGGCAACCTTGGTACCTTAGGAAGCAGTTTAAGAGAGAGGAGAGCCAGAACAGACAGGAAGCAACACTGCAGGAAGGAAGCACACTAGTGTATTTAAATAGGCATAGCTCGAGACAAGGCATCAGCCACTGTGTTCTCAGTTCCCTTTATATGACGAAAGTCTAAATGGAATGGCTGAAGGAACAGACACCAATGCATAAGGCACTGATTTGGGTTTTGGAGTGAGTGGAGAAAGGTTAGGGGATTATGGTATGTGTATACCACTAAGGGACTTACTCCACCTCCCACATAAACCTCAAAATGTTTCAATGCCCAGATGAGTGCCAGTGCTTCCTTTTCAATGATGAAATAATTAAACTGATGTGAGTTGAACTTTTTAGAAAAGAGACTCACCGCACAGTCGACACCCTTTTCATTCATCTGCATGAGTACAGCCCCAGCTCCCACCTTACTAGCATCCACATAGAGGGAGAAAGGCTGGTCCATCTGGGGAGCTGCTAAGACAGGGGCAGAACATAGCAACGACTTCAAAGACTCAAAAACTTCTTGACAGTGAGGAGACCAATGAAACTTTATCTTTGGGCTAAAAAAAGACGTGAGCAGAGCAACCACCGTGGAGAAATTTTTGCAAAACCCATGCTAGTAGCCCACCTGCCCAAGAAATGAGACAGTTCTTTCTTGGTTGTCGGCACAGGAAACTGGTCAACAGCTAACACCCGTGATGTTGTAGATGGCGCTCCCCTGTGTGCGACGTAGCGTAGCTATTCTATTCTATTCTATTCTTACAGGCTGCACCTGCCCTTGGCCAACTACCTTACCCAGGTAGGTGACTGTTGCCTTGGCAAACTCACATTTTGCCAGGTTGATGGTCAGACATGCCCAGGCCAGACGGTCAAACAGGGCCCTGATCGCCAAAGATGATTTTCCTAAGAATCACTGTAAATCACAACATCATCCAAGTGCACAGCGCAGCCCACCAGACCAGACAACCTTGTTCAAGGTGGCAGGAGCATTATGCAAGCCAAATGGCATTACGGTGTAAGAATACACACTGCTGGGTGTGATAAATGCCGCAATCTCTCTAGCTCGAGGAGACAAAGGCACCTGCCAGTAACCTTTAAGTAAGCCAAACTTACTAACAAACTTTGCCAAACCTACCTGATCCACACAATCCTCCATGCGTGGGAGTGGGAAAGAGTCAGGCTTGGTTACCTGTTCAGTTTCCTCAGATCAGTACAAGTTCTAAATATACCATCTGACTTTTTAACTAGTAAACATGGGGAAGGCCAACTGGACACACAAGGCTCAGCAATGCTGTTTTCTAACATGTAGCCCACCTCTACCTCTAACTGCTCATGCTTGTCTGGAGACATACGGTAAAAACGCTGTCGGGGCCCCTCCCACATCAATGTTGTGCTCAATAAGATGAGTACGAGATGGAGTATCACTGAACAGGCAGGGATAATCTTTAATCAGATTCCCCAACTCTGTTTGCTTTGGTTCAAGTAAATGCTTCAGCATTGCCTCAAGGTTGGCAAGAGATTCATTTGGCATACACAACTCTCCCTCAGCTTCTGTCTCCTGATCAAAAAGTGGGGGTGAATGAACAACTGATGCCACTGCAGCAACAGAGGAAATCAACGACCCAGAACCTCGTACAGCAGAGCGAGCAAAATAGGGTTTCAACAAATTATTGACACAACTGCACTGATTTCTTCCGGTCAGGGGTTGAAATCAAATAATTCAGATCTGACACTTTTCGGGCCACAGTATAAGGACCAGAGAACTTGGCCTGGAAAGGGGAACCAACCAAAGGCAAAAGGGCCAGAACTTGATCACCCGGACTGTATTCACTGTGTTCTGCCCGCTGATCATAGAGACTTCTCATTTTATCTTGAGCTGCTTGTAGATTGTCTCTTGCCAATTTATTTGCTCGATACAGTTGCTGTCTGAAACCATTCACATTGTCTATCAAGTTTTGTGGGGCCTCTTTTGCTTGCCAGTCACTGTGAAGGGATGCTAAAGGGCCTCGAACCTTATGACTGAAAACCAGGTCACTGGGGCTGAAAACCAGACTCTCTTGGGACACCTCCCTGGCAGCTAACATCTGCCAGGGTAAACCCTCCTCCCAATCTCTGTCTAACTCAGTACAATATGCTCAGAGAAGGGACTTCAAAGTTTGATGGAATCTCGCAGACCTCCCTGGCTCTGGGCATGGTAGGTGCTGGACTGTGAATGTTTGATATTTAGTTGTTTTAACACTTCTGAAAACAACTTTGATGAGAAATCAGACCCCTGGTTAGACTGGACAACCTTTGGGAGTCCAAAAATAGACATGAACTGTGTCAGAGCTTTCACAACTGACCTGGTGGTGATGTTCCTAAGGGGATGAGCAGCAGGATAACGTGTAGCCTGACACATGACCGTTAGCAAAAGTTACTACCAGTTTTGGAACGGGCAAAGGACCAACACAGTCAACAATCAGATGCTCAAAGGGGTGTTCAGCAACTGGAATAGGAGAGGGGCAGGTTTACTCACCTGATTTGGTTTTCCAGTCAACTGACATGTGTGGCAAGTTTTGATAAAGGCTGAGAAGTCTCTTTTCAAACGTGGCCAGTAAAAATACCACATAACTTGATCATAGGTTTTCCTCACACCTAAATGACCAGCTACACCATCATGAGCGGCGGTCTGAATGACAGTTAAACATAACAAAGAGGGCAAAACTACTTGGACAATCTCATTCCCAAAAAACAGTCCCCCTGGGGAACCCATTTTCTCACCAAGAGGCCATCTCGGAGAAAGTAGCCACGAGCTGCACTCTCTGCCTCACCATGTGGTTGAACTTGGCTGTACAGTGGCTGAAGCGAGGGATCATCTTTTTGCCCTTACACAAGGTCACTGCAAGATACAGGTAAGGGGAAAGCAGGTACAGGAAACACAGGCTCTCTTTTCCTATCTGAATTATCAAGACATGAACTACCTTCAGCATGACTCATGGCACGTGTCACTGCACAGGTGGGTAGCACTACAAAACCTTCTACCTGAGAAGGTGGGGTGTCCACCATTACAGGCGCATCAGGCCACACTCGGTCGCCAGCCAGGTCATTCCCCAAGGTGACCTGTACAAGTACAGCAGTACAGCAGTACAGCAGCTTTAACCAACTGATAACTACCACTATCTGTAGCACTCAAGGCTGAGAAAGCCTCCTGGGCCTTGCCAAGGAGCACACATTGAAGCAGCAGAGTACACTCAGCATCAGACCAATTACGTGCTTCCGCTAAAGGCTCAAACAACACAAAGAAAATATCAGGGTCCCGTTCATTAAACTTTGGAACTAACTGTAAATTGACAGCAACATCAGATGACGGAGTGGGAATTGACTCTTCAATCTTTGACTCAGCCTGAAGCTTGCCTTCACTTATAAGATCCAACTTATAATGCTCCAACTGTAGCTTTTGTGTTGCCTGGGCATAGGCTAGTTCAGTTTCACTTCTGTCTCACCTTTTCTACCTCCCCAACACTCTTTTGTTCCTGCTGGAGTTGTAGCAGAAGGAGCTCTTTCTGTTGCTCAAATGTCAAGGCAGTTCCAAGCCCAGTCAAAACAGGAGCCAACACTTTACCTGGCCCACTGACCATAGCCGAAGCTACATCAAACAACCTAGTCACTTTTACCGGAGCACTTGGACCTTCCACTGAAGAAGACAAAATATTCAGCTCCACCAACTGGGCCTTTAACGTGGCCAACAACTCCTCTTTATTCATCTTCTTAGAAACCTCAACACTTTAATAGTCAACTACTTGGAATAGCTGATCTCTTTTGTAAGAGTTGAGCAAATCCTCACGCCTGAACATCTGAAAATCTTCAATCGAAACCATTTCACAGTTTTACCACCTAGGGCGCTTTTTTCCAGCACTGAAACTATTTCAACACACCACAGATAGACCAAAACTAAAAGCAAAGACAAAGTTCTCCACCACCGCACAACAGGATTAATGGCTGCTTTGAATATGGAACCCCATCCCTCTGGCTAACTGCCTAACCAATACTAGTTGACCCACTCAACCCTAGACTTCATGCAGGGTTATGGCAGGATGAATTAAGCACAACGACCAGCAACCCGGTCAATTCAGCACGCTGAAAATCTGAAAAAGCTGAAAAGTAATGCTCTAACCACTTGCTGCACAAAAATGATCATCTAAAACAAAAAAGGATCAATGGAGACGGCCAGTGCCCCACATTGCTTATGCCTATCAGGAATAAGGGTTCCAAATAATTTACCAGCCCTCAAATCCTGCTGGTAGTTCCAGGAAACATGTTCTAACATTTGCAGGCCAAAATCTATGGAGCAACACGTTTACTGGAATACCAGTGGTCAAACAACAAAGTCCCTAGAAATACCAGAGTAACCCAAAATCTGTGTGATTCCCAGCACCAAAATCCCGGACAAGCCCCCATTTGTTACAGACTGGCTGAAGGCCGGCAGCAAAAGGGAGGCCACACACAGATGTATCAATCAAAAGTTAATTTATTTAACTCAAACAAATAAGCACAGTAAGTAAACTGATGGCATGTGTAAGTAGGAAGGGTATCAGTCATGTTAGGCATATGTGGATGAGTGAAATATGGTGTAATGTGTGTTGTAAGGTGCAGCAAACCAAACAAAGGAAACAGGCTGAAGAGGCTGCAGCAGGCCCAGCTGGGAGAGAGTGTGTGCAGCAAAGGGCCAGTTTTTGTACAATCCTATTCTTACATGTTTCTTATGATTTATTTGCCAGTACTAGAGTACTCTACAATAAATTAATTCAAATATGGAAGTCACTGAAAATGTCCATCCCTAATATCTTTGGTATTTCTGTAGTGAAAGGCAATACTGGACAACATACTTACAAATATATGACAAGCTCGTAATGTCCGAGCCAAAAGATTGGTAAGGCTTGAACAGTTTCAATGTCAAGTCAAGTCAACATGTTCTATGCTAGTCATGCACCTTTGTGTGGACTAAACCTAAACCACCTGGGTGTGAATGGAGAGAACGGAGAGTCCCATAAGGATAGAAGAACAAGGGTGTGTGTGTTCTGTGTGTGAAAACCTGTTTCAGTCTCTTGACTTCATGTTCCATTTCGATCTCTCTGGTCCTGGCATTGTACTCTGACAGTCCCTTGCCCTGTCCTGGATGCTCCATCTCCATCTTAAACAACTGCAGATACTCCAGCTCCCGGCGGAGATCATCAATCAACTGCAGAGTAAAGATATGATTCAATGGAACTCCTCGACATTATGTGATCTTTCTGTTGTCTAGAGTGCTCACCTCCTGCATGGCCTCTTTTTCCTTCTGAAAGTCATGACGATTATGCCAGAGCTTGTCCATTATCTTCCGGTAGAGGTCCATCTCATCTTTCAGCCTCAGACTAGTGTCCTCCAGCTTGTCTGTCATCCTATGCTTCTCCTGCAGAGGAAAGAGGTAAGGATGGCAAACAAATTTGCCACTTCCTTTACTCTCACCTAAGTTTTAAACAAACACACTGAGTTAAAGAGCAGCTTTATTATTATATTAATTATCGTGTGAATGCTGATATATTTTTGCATTCTTTCAGATGATGGTTTCATTTAAACATTAGGGGCTCTAGTTTCCCGGCGCGGTGCGGGTTGGCGAACCCCGTGCAGAGCTAGTTTCGAGCAGCGCAACCTGAGGCACGCTCAGTTTAGTAGTTTGGCAGACCGAGGTGTGCTGAGATGGGTGTGGCAGCGCAGCAGTGGGAAGTGTCAACAGATCCAGCTTGGCGCAGTGACAATTTCGTGCCAAAGGGCTTCGCCGAAGGTGCGCTAAAAGCTCGCCAGCTGAAACCAGGTCTACTGTCAGCGCAGGCGGAGCGCAGCTGATGTAGTGGAAATTTGGCTGTCCGGCAGACAGTGCGCACACGTCACCAAAACCTCACAAGCAGGTTTCCAGAATGTCAGGCACATTAACGATGCAATAAATAGCCACAAAAACCACTATTCAATGCAACTATCTGCAATCAGCACATAAATGTATCTCTATATCGACTGTCCCGTCACATCTGATGTCAGATCAAAGGGGATTGGCACCATTTGGCACGTGTAATGGAAACTCAACCTGGTTTGATTAACACAGCTGCAAACTAATGAGTTCACATCCCTCTCAGCCAACCACAAACAGCCACAGCATCAGATAGGGAGTATATATTCAGCATCTGTCATCTTAGAAAAGTCAAAAGAAAAGAAACAGAGTGACACTGCGAGAGAAAGAGAGAGCGTGCACGCGCATGACAGAAACGCAACATTGATTTACAATTGTGGTGACCTCCTCCCAGGCTACCTTTGCATCATCAGCCGGTGGAGGTCTGCTCGCAATTCCGTATATTAGGACACTGCGAGCTTGGACCTCCCGGACCAAAACATCAGTTTCCTCCTGGGAGAAGTTTGGCCGTCTGACGCTGCTGCTCTCTTCTGCAATGGCGAATTGAGTAAACTCTCATTACGCCTTCGTGCGGCGCATTTAAGGGCGAGGAGAGGGGCTCATTTGATTGGTGTGATGTGTGTAAAACCCACTCCACGCCTTCTCTCCTCCCTCTTTCCGACTTGCACAGGTAGGAGGGACGGAGGTGGGAAGGAGGACTAGCTGCACCAGCGCGCACGGTGTGCCAAACTTGCAAAATCCACCTGGCCACACCCAGCTGGCGAAGCGCAGGTGCGCTGCGCCTACTCCTCAACCGGTCTGCGAAACTAGAGCTCTCTGACATATAGTTTTTTAATTCTATGTTTCAAAGCAACAAGAGATAGCATCCTGTCTCACTGGTTATCATGCTATTTCACCTCATCAAGGTTTGAGCAAAGCCCATATGTAGAGACTCTTAAAACTGTGACTTCTCCCTTATTTTTTACCTTATCCACACAAATGACATGTCTACAGCTTCAGCTACTTTATTGCAGGGGCGGATCTATGGGTCAATCTGGGTGGGCCTGTGCCCACCCAGATTGACAGCCCACCCAGTAAGATTCATGAAAAAAAAAAAAAAATAAATAAATAAAAATACCCAACATAATTCATAAAAAAATATCATAGAATCTGCTTTAAATGTTTAATTGTAATTTCTGTTTTATAGAGAAATTTCAAAATTAAATAAAAATAAAAAAAGAACTTCCTCTCTTCCCAGCAAGCATTTTTTGGTTTAAAAAACGTCTAATAGCCGTCTACATGAAGACCTGACATCTAGGCTAAATCACGGCTGAATTTGGGCTGTCAGTGAAAATTTGGTAGACGTCTAACCATAGCCAAAGTGTAGACGTCATCAATTATACGGCTATGTAGAGACCATGTCCAAAAAATGGAGATGAACATATTTTGATTACTGTTGACTCTCCATACAAGATTGAATATTAAATTACATTTAATAAATTTCAAAATTAAATTGGCTAGATTTGGGTTACATGTAGCGAGACTAAATCGGAGCTAAATATAGTCAATGCGTTTAAATCGACTATTGCTTGCTGGGTTGCGTCATTAACAATGTCATGCACACGCTTGAGTTCACGAGCAGTCAGACGGCGGGTGCCGAGGGTCATAGGCACTGTAGCAGGAAGCTGGACTCATTTAACAATGGCTAAACAGTTATCTTTGAGCCACTTTTTCAAAAAAACCACATCTACAGACAGAAGAAAGTTTGGACCAGGCTGTGCTTAAAGAGGATGGTCGTCAGGAGAACTTAATTGGCCCAGGGAATGAGGGGGAAAGAACCACCACGTCATCATCGCCATCCCCTGAGAGTCATGCTAGCATTTGTGCTAACCCGGCTCCGGCTCCGACCCACCGACTGCCACTGGCCGCATCTAGTGAGCCAATCCGGACATCGTTAGATTTATCACCAATGGAGGAACCACCACTCAACCCAAGCTAATAGCATTCCCAGCTACTGTCATAGGTGGGAAATAGCGGTCATTTAATGCCAACTAGTATGGGAAGTACAAGTGGATTGAGTAGCCCTACAGTAAAGAACAAGATGCAGTGTTTTGTAAAGCTTGCAGACATTTTCCGGAGATGCACACTGAGACTATGTTTATAAGTGGCTACAAAAACTGGAAACGTATCAGAGAGGCCTGCAACAAACATGAGTCTAGTAAGCCGCATGTCATTGCGCAAACAAAACTGGCATCATTCAGGGACAGCCATGGGCCGCAAAGCTGCGGGACAGTGTTGAACCAGCTGCACGGTGATGCTCCAGCATTTGTGGAGAGACACCGGGAACATGTTAAGGTTGTCCTGGACATTGTTATGTTGTGTGCAAACAGCCAATTTAAAGAGGACACATATGGAATCATGAGAGCATCGGCCTCTTTTGCACCTGGATCTGCCACTTTTGGAGACATTTTTAAAGCTCCGTGTGACTCCGTGTGGGATTGAAATAGCTGATGCTGAACATTCTGTGTTCACTCAGCACATCAGATGGAAAATGGATCAGAACAACTTCCCCACACTGATGGAAATACTGGACAGCTGCCCGTCGGACATTTTTCCTAACATGAACAGTCTGTTAAGGGCCATCATAACGTTCCCTTTGACCTCCTGCAGCGTCGAGATACTTTTCTCCGCTACCAACAGGATCCAGGCGCGCCTGAGGATGCTGACTGGACGCCTCAACAACCTGACACTCCTGTCATTTGAAAGAGAGATGATTGACAGTTCGGATTATGATGACATAATCAACGCTTTTAACTCCAAGCCCAGAAGACTCCGCCTTGTGTAGCAACTGCAGGTAAGACTGTTTTTTTTTATTCTGGCCCGCTGTGGTATGTTATGATTGCGTTTGTGTGAGCCTGTGAGGAGGCTCTGAACATGTCCCATTGGTCTGACATTTCAATATCTGTGCTTTATCCAACCCACTCGCAAATTACCAACTTTATGAATTAACCTTATAGGCTAGTAACTGTAGCGACAACAGTCAGGTGCGCCGTGCTGTCCAAGGTGCTGAGTGTGTCTGGAGCAGAGCAGGTCTCTGTCTCCCCATGCGCAGTAGTGTGGACATTTATGCTATTAAGTAAACGAAGAAAACATGTCTCTCATTGTTTAATAGCAGCAAAACAATAAGGCTTCATCAAATATATCAATATGTCCAAATATGTACATTAACTGAAAGTTATAAAACAGAATCAAGCGTCACACGGCTTTACAAATATGCCGAAAATAGCCTAATGTGTAGGCATATTTCTGGCTTTGTGCAGGTACACAGTTTTAGTCATGTTTTAGTATGTTCTTGTTACTAAATCCACAGACATCTCAGCTTTAAAAATAATCAGGCCCATCCAGATCTTTGCAGGCCCACCCGCTACGTTCTGGCTCCGCCACTGCTTTATTGTCACCGTTAACATTGTCAGACAATATCACTGTGAAAATCTGTTTAGCAGCCCCTATTTGGCAGTGGTACAAAAAAAAGAATAGTAAAAATAAAAATAACACTGACAGTATAAAAATAGCATTTTAACAGTATGGGGAAATAAAATAACATTATAACAATATAAGCCAGATATATACAAAAGAAACATATGAACAATATAAATAACCTATATACAGAATGAAACAGTATTATGTACAGATATTATTAAGGTGCAGGAGGTTGTGGAAAGTCAAAGGGTTTGTGCAAGTTGGGGAAGGGGGGTGGGGGTATTGCACTCAGTATTTTGGTGTGTTCCAGTGTTAGTCTTTGGGTGGGATGGGTGGGATGGGTGGGATGGGTGGGATGTGTGCGGTGATGGCTTTGATGGCCTGGGGGAAGAAGCTGTTCATGAGTCTGGCTGTTCTGGCTTTAAGAGAGCAGTATCTCTTTCCAGAGGGGAGGGGGGAGAATAGGGAATGTCTGGGGTGAGTGGGGTCTGTGCTGATGTTTCTGGCCTTCCTGAGAAGTCAACCAGTGTAAGTGTCTTTGAGGGGGGGGCAGTGTGTCCCAATGATCTTTTCTGCAGTACTCACCACCCGCTGTAGGTCCTTCCTGTCCTCTGCGGTGCAGCTGGTGAACACTGTGCAGCAGTAGGTCAGGATGGACTCGATGGAGGCCCTGTAAAAGTTAACCAGCAGTGGGCGGGGGAGGTGGGCCTGCTTTAACTCCCTGAGGAAGTAAAGTCGCTGGTGGGCCTTCCTCACCTGATAGGAGGTGTGGACAGACCAGGTAAGGTTGGCCGAAATGTGGAATTTAAAGCTCTCCACCCTCCACCCTCCACCGTCTCAACTTCCTCTCCCTTGATGGAGAGGGTGGGGGGCTCAGTCTTTTTGGATTTTCTGAAATCCACAATAATTTCCTTGGTTTTGGCTGTGTTGAGGTCCAGGTTGTTATGGAGGCACCAGTCTGTCAGGCGTTCAACCTCCTCCCTGTAGGCTGACTCATCGTTGTTCCTAATCAGTCCTACGATGGTGGTGTCATCAGTGAACTTGACGAT